AGAGGAAAGTAAAACTCACGTCCAAAAACATTCAGACAGTATCGGGTCCGGTTACAGGTTCGTTTGTAAATCATCCAGGAGAATCAATTGTTCGAAAGGATGACTTGTATTCTGATCCAGTAATGTGTTAACTTAGTCCAATACGGCAAAAATCGCACACATTAAAAACGGCACACAGTTAACAACGGCACGGAAATTGATACGGATGTCTGTCACAGAAATAACACATTTTTTATTGTCGAGGCCGAGACTAAGTGGCGGTGCATGCTGAATTCCTAGCCCAATAATGATGATCATTCTGTTTTGTCACCGCTCCCACCATTGTTCAGGTTTATCAACGCCAGACGTCGTATTGTTCAGCCGATGATTGACCAATCAAATCGCACAGGTGAGATTTAATGAGTGTCAGTCTAATGCCTGGATAATTGCTATCATTGTGGTCTGGCTTATCAAAGTCATGCGTTTGGCGAGAAGCCGTTTCACTTGTACCAAGCCTGCGTTTGAGCACTGTGGTCTCCGATACATGGGGCAAGATGCTAAGGCCCCGTCGTAGCGTCATGCTTCTGTGATTACACGAGCTTTTAGTCCCGTATTGACATGTGCAATTGGAAAATATACACGATACCGCTGAAAAGAAGTTTCAGTCTGAGTTTGAACAATCGTCTACCGTGCACTTTCGTGCGATGGTTTCGGTCACCCAATTGAGCGAAAGAGTAAGGATAATAGTGGACTATTGAAAGCAGTGACACAGATATAATAGAGAATTTCATTAGACTAAGGTTGCAAAAAACGTTTCTGTCATCTCTATTGATTGCCACAATAAATCACATCAGTAGTACAATTTGGTACTGTGGTATTTTGAAATGGGTTAGGATCAGGTAAATAGAAGTTTGCCTAACCAGTCACACTTTATGCTGATATACCAGAGGATTCTCGGGGTTCCTAACAGATTATCAGAATCGTTGTGTTCGTCAATGAATTTTAAAGTTAACAATTTTCATCCGGTCAACTGGACTGTGCTGTTTACAGGCAATTTCATCTTGATTTCTCAAACGTGGCTAGCAGTCTCAACGGATTTAGTTGTTCTGCCGGAATCTATTCGAATTGGGACGCGAGTACAGCCAAATATATCGATTGAACAACTGAACTACTCACACCATTCGAGTGGAAGTATATCACTTTTGCTGAACAATGAACAATTTCGATGTGGTGATAATCAGGAGAGTAGAGGGGACTCGAGTTATTGTTGTGTCCACCGGAATGCATGAAATCGCACATTTACTTATCAAGGTCGTTGGTCAATTATGCTGAAGAAATCGTCTTTTCGCATAGTCTTCAATCCTTCTATCCACCTAAAATGTACCACACTCAAGTTTCGTTTCACCGGATCTCATCAGTGTCCCAGAGAGGATTTGTATCCTGGACCTCTCGCATACGATCACAGTGTCAGACAGCGCGCGCGCGCACACACACACACACACACAAAGGCTGACCAGACTTAATGATTCAAGTTGACCGTTTTCATTGATGGCCAGTCAGTTTTGTTAGGTACCTAAACATGTGTCGGTACATGTCACCAGTTGGACCACTACTCACGAGCTAAAATGTAAACAGACATTTTGTTAATACAGTTAAATAGAAATAACATTCGACGGTATACCCTGCTTCTCTCTCAGTCTGTTGATCACGCTAGTTTCTTCAAGTTCGTCTTCCTCTACCGAGGTATACTCTTCGTCCCATCTGGTGGACGAGTATCGGTCAAGTGAACAGTCAGACCGTGGACACCGCATTGGGTGCTCCAGCAATTGGGGTGATCTAGTTTGTCTTATATAGAGAGAGAGCATTGTTCATCTTCCGTCTTCACCCGGTTGCCCCAATGGGACTGTGTCAAGTGAATGTCTGATTGCNAAATCAGTTTTTGTGTCTTTGTGTCTCCATGAATGGATGGGTGGAACGGATGAGTGAGAAAATGATTAATGTTCCGAGAAGTGATCGAATTCCACTCCTACAATTATGTCATGGGATTAGTATATTGATTTCTTTGTTTGAAAACCATTCTGCAATAATTGCAGTAATATGATATAGTTAAGAATAGTTACATGTATTTGTATCTGCCCGTGTGTGTATGTGTGTGTGTGTGTGTATTTGCTGTATACAGATGCCTGTGGCTTTGTATCCACTCCTCTAAGAGATAATCACGTGAACGCACACACACCGACTTGAGAATGTGTGCTTTTTATTACTGCAATAGTTAGGAAGTTGAAACTCGCCGTTCCTTCCTACCTACCCATAGAAACGGATTTCATTTTTCCTTTGGGGGGGGATAAAATAGGGTAAATTGAATAGCTATTTGTAATATATTAATGGATTTTTATTTCATTTTGTGGAAAAAAGTAAACATCTTGCACCAATCAAATCGTTCCTATCTCAAAACATTGTTCAATCCTCATTGCCTCCTCCCCCAAAAGGACCTCATGGTTATTCTTCTGCAGATGCGGCACCTCCCTGTGTGAACTACATGGAAGGTGCACCGTATGCAGCTTATACCAGGGCAGCACAAGCAGCGGCAGCGGCGGCGGCAGCAGGTAAGCTCCAGTCTATCATCTCCTCTTCCTTCTCCCATTTCTTCCGTCCCTGAGAATACATTCAAGCCATTGGTGTAGTTTGTATTGCATTTTGTGGACAGACAGAGCATGTCAATGTCTACCTCGAAATTTATTCCCAGAAAAATGCATCGCATGTTTAGCAACTAGGGCCACATACTGCTATGATTCTATACAGTTTTTTGTCATCTGACAGTTCCCCAACTAAATCACAATTGCACGTGTCGAGTGTGGGCGATACTCGGACGGGTTACACACACACACACACACACATACACACACACACACAACTTCCATAGTCAAGGGAATTTGCTATTGGAGTTGTGTAAGTCGATAATCGCAATATCTTGTTCAACAGGGCATAAGAACAATCGGTACAGATCGCTCGTTCTATCGACCATGCAGTTGTCAATGAGGTAACAATATTCACGTCACTAATAGTTCCATCAAACTTAATTGTGATCTCCTATAATAAGATCTTTATTTGCAAGATTACATCAAATACATTCAGGGCTTGGAATTTAAGTTTTGACAAATGGAAATGTTCTTCCCATCTGTTTTGTTGGATCCTACAGAGGGAAATGCAATTTTTGTGGTGTTAGATATCGCGCCGAATAATTCATCCTCCGTGGAGTTTACATCTGTATTGAAGTGAAACAGCTGTAGTCTAATTGGAAATGTGAGCATATTACTGAACCGTTCCTAATGTGGGCTATGATAACATGAGCCCGCGTTTGTTCACGCGTTTGGGATAGCCGAACACTTTGTTCTGCTTGCTTTGCTTCAACACCTTGCGGGATCAATTAAGTAAGGGATGTAGCTGAAACGGTTTGGCATATATCAAAGTTTTGGGGTACAGATTAATGATGATCACTTAGAGGAATTTACGGGAGTTGGCCTTGATCTTATTGAGGGAAAGTAGGTGCACTGAATCCTTCGAATGAGACACATTTAACCGCGGGTCTTAAGTAATCTCCTCTACGCCAATCGTACATGATGTATGTAGAGCTAGTCCATCACTGTCGTAGGGCCTACATGAGAGCAGTCTTCTCTCGCGGTGGAGACATCGTGAAGGTTCAGCAGAAGATGTGCCCTGTCTGAGCATGGATGTGTTCATGTAAAACGATTCGTCAATGTGCCCAGTTGCATCAAAATAACAAATTTACTTTGACTTAAATTATCAAATTAATACAAAAGGATTGAGAGTATGGGTTGCAGGTATGCATTCAACATTCACACCCAAGAGCCGATTACGCGGAGAATGAACAGAAAATTAACAGAGTAAGCTACCGAATGTTCCTACAATGGAAACAAGAAATTTTCTGATGAGTAACAAATTTGTTTAGCATTTGAAATTCCGTTCCAGCGGTCTTTGCATAAACTCCTGTTTAAACAGTGCCGAACGATGTAATCTACTGTCATGTGATGCTTGCATATCGATCGCATACCGTCCGCAGTTCATGATCATCATTGAGGATCAGTGGATTCAGACCACTAACTCATCAAGGTCAAAACAACTGTCAAGTGTTTCCCAAATTTTCAGTCCACGTTTCATTTACTCTGTGTACAACAAAATTAATCACAATATGTCTCGGAAAAGTATGGAGAAGTATTTGATATCTTATGATTTTGTTGCTATAGCATCAAACAACTTTTTCGACACGCTTCTTCATTAATAACCGAACAACAGCCATTACTTGCTTTCCCATTTCTTCATAACGCCTCCATCCTTGTGGTTGTGAATGACCTATTTTGTGTGTCAGATGATCCTTTCTTAATTCAGCCGATCGTTTTCGAACTCTGAGCTGCAAATCGATTGGGCTGGTAGAATTTCACGGGTTTATTTATGTAGCGAACAGAGCCCATGAAATTGCAACAAGTTGTGAGTAGTACAATGAAAAGGACACAATCATTCTCTAACACACACACACACACACACACACACACACACACATACAGGTCTCACATGAAAAAGGGGCAGGAGAGGACCATGTCAAATATGAGTGGGGGGAAAAAACCGTTTGTTTAAAAAAAAATAGTTTTTCACATATGTGCATGAACGCTTCCGTTGTTTTTTGAGTGTGTGAAATCTATCCATCGGATAGGGTATTCCGATAGCACGGTTAAAGGAAGCGGTATGGCTTTTTGGGCCTTAATATACGTACAAAGAGAACGAGAGAAAGGGGAGGGGAGCCCACAATATAAAACATGAAAACAAAACTCCGCTGCAGTACAAGTACACATTTGTTCTGTTTTTCCACGTTCCCCGGTCCCGAGACGGACTGATTGTCCAGTGGCGCACACTTTGAGAAGTTTGGCAATGATTGGGCTATTAAAAGACCAACTGGCCAGGTGTACGTGAAAGACTGTACCCATGTATATGAGCGTTTACACAATAGCTCCGGACATTGCAAATAGGTATTGCAGTGTATATATATGTATATATATATATATATATACACACACACACACACTGGTATATCTACTATCGAGGACAGTCACGCGACACCACGTGTCAGTATATCCACCTGTTCAAGGTGTTAGCTGAACGCGGCAACAGGTAAAAATGAAAATGAATGATCAGGTGACCGGACGAGAAACGGAAGTAAGAGGGAGGTAAAAAAAAAAGGCCAACTCTACCTCGATGAGTGGGGGTGGGGTGGGTGTTACACGTCAGTGCTGTGCCTAATTGGATACGGATCGTGGGAACACTTCTGTTGACGACACTCACAGGCATCACGGTCAACTGTCGTGTGAGCCAC